ACTAAAATATTTATTGTTATGTTAAATATTTACTTGCAGAAAAAGTTTATGTAAACTTTTGTATTTTATAGTACTGAAGAGGGACCTTTTTTAGAAAAGGACCGAAATGCATCTATAGTAATAGAATAAAGTGAAATCATTGGCTAAAGCTGTGAGATAGTCTACCGCCAATATTAAAATTTACATTTTAAATGCGGATTTACAAAGACTTTACAATATATATATACAGCAGTCATAAGAAATTTAATTTAAATACATATGTAAACACCTACTCTATAACATGCAATTTTCTCTTTATCTGTAATCTATTTGTTTATTTTATATGTAATTTTTTAAATTTTATTGTATTTTCCATGTACAGTAAGACCCCGCTTAATGCTGCCTCGCATGATGCTGATTCGATATAATACGGTCTGCTCGAAGCCTAAAAAAACGCTCAAAGTTTATGCTGATTTAAATTATTGCAGCATTTCATTGATTAATATATAATACAATTATTTACAAACACGGACAAATCAGAAAAAGGTGGCAAAAAGGTGTACTTTCTTTAAATCTGTTTGTTTTGTTCAATTTTGGAAAAAATATAACATCATGGATGCCATAGGCAATATCGGCTTCGCTTGGCAAGAATTAACTGATAAATGCATGAACGAAGTGTGGAAGAAGTTATGGCTGAAGGTATCCAAGAATCTTTAACGAGAAGAGCCTATCACTGTATCGTTAGGTTGACCAAAGTCACCCTAATCAATACAGCAGAACTAGGAGATGTAGATGATCAGGATATTGAGGAGTTACAGTAGGTTTCTGGTGAGAGCCTTACCAACGACAACCTTCAGAAAGAACTGGCAGAACAAGGAATTCATATAGAACTGGAAAATGGAGATTCTGAAAACAAAGAATCCAAAAAATTTCTCTACAGATTTCCTTAGTAAACGATAACCGAAATCATTGATCAAATTGTAGCGAATGATCCAGATTTTGAATGGAATGCAAAAGCAAAACAAGGCATTTTGGACACTACCAACATTTGCTTAAGAAAAGAAAAAGCGACAAATGAAACTTTACGACTTTATTCTAAAAAATACAAGAATTTCAGAAAAGTCAGGACCTTCATCACAAAAAATGAACTTTACATTTCTGTGTGCATATGTTTATGTGTTATTTAACATATATTATTATACAAATTAATACAAAAATAACTTAAAATTAAAGTAAAATTTGTTTATATTTGGTCACGTGTTCCCTATCCCTATTTACTCTATGTTAAAATGACCTCATTTAATGCTGTATCATTTAGTGCTTTGTCGTCTAGGAATGCATCCCCTGCATTAAGCAGGGCCTTACTGTATTTGTTATATGCATATTTTTGTTTTATTATTGTCTTTAAGGGTTTAATATTAAACTTAAATATGTCACAATAGGGTTCATTTTAAGGATTTTTTTTATTATTAAATTGGAGGAGGAAATCAATTGTCAAGTGACACTTCCTATTGTATTTGTAAAATAAATAAATAAATAAAATTAAGTATGTATGAGGAAGTTTAATTTCAAAGAAAAGTTTTCTATATGTGTTACTGCTCATGTACTCAGCATAGTTCTCATACTGTAATAAACAATTATATGATTTAAATCAAAATAAACAAACAAACATTTTTTTGGAAAATACACTTCAATTGTATTTAACTAAACAAATAATGTTCTTAAAAGCAGTGACTCTTGGATTTGAAAGGAAAATAACTTGTTAGTTTAACTGCATATAAAAAGCATTTTAAAATTAATTTTCACATATGACATACAAACTGGAAATTTTGTCCATTAAATCCAAAGTCCCTTAAATCAAGGTTTTACTGTATTACTAGTTATAGATGGTTGAAATTTGTTTTGACATTGTTGTTACTTTGCCCCTTTTGATTTTTTTAAGAAATAATCATCATTTGTTCTTGCTGTTCAGGATCAATTTGCACATTTGAAGTGAAATGTTGTGGCTCGAGTGAAATGCCTCCTGGTGCACAGACTTTTGATGCTTCCTTCACTCCTGTAATCTTTTGGGTGATGACTTAGTGGGCTTTTTTGTATTCTTCTCATTTTCCTTTAGCTGTTTCTTCAATTTTTATTGGTTTTATAATAATTTTTTTAAATTTTTGCAGCATTTCTAAATTTTCATTGACAAGTATTTTTGGATGCAATTATCATTATCACCAAATTCACATTATTTTAATTTATTACATAAATTCCCATCCCTATCATTATTTATTCACTAGATATAATCTCAAAAACAGTGTGCAATGAAACAAGATTATGCAAAATTTAATTTAACTTTCTAACACAACTATATTGAAGGTAAAGGGTGGAGGATTAAAACTTGTTTTATTATAAATGGGACTTTATAACCTATGTAATGATGGTTTATTTATTACTCTAAGGTTAATAGTTTTGAATATATAAGCATTCAGTGTGACATGTTTTTATTGCATCGGTTGCAAGGTTACCTACTACCCAGTGAGGGAAAAGACACAGTTTTAAGTCAAAACAGCAGGCAAACACAGTGAATGAATTTACATTAATAATAATTAACAAAGTTGGGCATCTTTTGTTTTCATATATTTTTTAAATGCCAGAGTCAATAAAACCAGAATTTCTGATCAGTTTATCTGTCAGTTCTTATCATCAGTATTTGAATTCTCAGTTTAATAGATTTCACTGCATTTTGAAGTTTTATATTGAGAATTATCTATTGGAAATTTTTCAGATTTATTTTAGATTTAAAGTAAATTTAGCTATTTTGTATTCATACTTTTTAAAGTGATTATAGTGTAAATACTATATTAAAATAACTTATAATCTCAACAAACAAACATTTTTAGACATTAGTATTATCAATAAGCAAATAGTTTAGTTCCTGAAATATTTTTAACAGGTGAGCAATAATTTTCTTAATTGTTACATGTTACATTATAGAATTTTAAAAGAGGGTTGCTACCTACAGAAGGTTTTAAAAATACTGTTTTAGAAAGAATTGGAATTTATTGACGATAACTCCAAATTATTTTAAACTATATACAGTAAAATCTTGTTACGTTGACAGCATTAACTCAAATCTGTCTACAGGTCCTGGTATGTAGGATTTTTCATATAATATGGTCATTTTAAGTCAAAATTGTCAGTAGTACTTTTAACTCAAATTTATTTTTCTGTGTATCCTCCACCTTATGATAGGTCCATGATCTTCATTTTCTTTTATATTCTGTGTGAATACAGTGGAATATAAAATATAGTGAGTTACACAACACCATGCCATTACAACCTTGTGTTGACATCCTTTTACCGATACTATATGTTACCAGTATTCTGATTGGGACACAAAGGGGTGCCTTAACAATGCACTCAAAAGCATCATAAACTATAAACAATTTTGTAATTAATTTTTGAACAGATTCTTGAGAACAGCTTGATAATGAGAAATTTACAGCCACAGAAAAATTATACATTTAAACTCTAACTTGAAACTCTTAATTCAAAGTTTGAATGTTTTTACCCTTGAACTTTGACTTGAGGTTTTACTGTATAACAAATATAAGAGAAAACTGCTTTATTGGTGCTCATTCATATAACAGCTTCTCTCTTAACTACTAGTATTTTGGGCAACCAAGCCCATCACAGGAGATACACAAGTGAATCATCTCAGTAGCTGTCACCTAAATTTGTTTGTATAACATCTGCTCTACAATCTAAGACTATTGACACCTATCTCTAATTATTCCTATCTCTATACTAAGAAAAGTACAGATGTACTGTATACAAGTGAGCTTCAGTAATTTTTTATTTGTTATAATTGGAAATTAATTTTTATTTAATTTAGAAATATCTGGAAAAAAGATTAATCCAGATTTCAGTTCTNTAGTAGGTAATTTGCAGATTACCTAGATAATCTGCACATTACCTAGGTAATTTGAGAAATAGAGAAATTTTAGCAACTTTAACGGATTACCCAGTTAATCTGCAGATTAACTAGGTAATGTACACATTAACGACTTTCGAGCTTTAGCGGTAACATATGTTATATAACAAGGGAAGTATTGGAATAGTGTCAAATTTAATCCTCCGAAATTTTTGTAAATTTTCACGTTTTGAGATCATCTGAATCCAAAAAAGTCAAAAAGATTCCTCAGATGTGTGTATGTGGCGTCTATTTTGTTTAATATTTCTGGATGGAGTAATGATTAAGATTCGGTATCTTATATCAATTCCGCTAGCTGTTTTACTGGTGGCTCTTTTTAAGCTGTCTATAAATTACCTGGACAGATAGGTATGCAGGTAATCGTTACAATGCTTTATAAGGAAGTGGGGGTTTACAAAAACGTTATGTAATGCGAGGGTATCATCCCTTGGGTAACAGAATGATTCGTTTGTTTCTGAAGTGTCGCATAGCGAACCGTGTAGCTTAACAGCACGTTACTGCTTTATACATTATACATGTGATTAATTAATTAATTAATAAGATAATGTAACTCTCAGTACCAAGTGCTGTGTATTGTTCTTTAGTACAATTAAGATTGATCGAAGATATGCGCTACATAATTTTGCGGATGGGTATGTGCGACAGTGTTGCGGAGCGCTACAAGGGTGGAATGGTATTGAAAGTACAGCGCTATGTAATTTATAAATAATTCCTTATTAGATAGAAATGTAATAAGATTTCAAATATTTTTTCCACTAATCCAACGTAAGATTTGATTAGTTCATTTTTTCTATTCTTATATACTGTATATTTTATTACTAATGAAAATTTTCGCATAACCAGTCTGCCACCTGGTGGACCACTTATCTCGAAATTATTTTTAATAATTTTTAAATCGTAATTTATTTCTATCGAGTATTAAATAAATATCAATAAAAATACCGTAATTTATAATACTTTATATTTTTCAAATTACGAAGCAAACAAAAATCTGTAAAATATTTTAAATCATATTTACTTATGTTTGCGAAAAGAGATTTGATGTCGAGACTATTTCGATGGCGGGTTTCAGAAACCGTAGAGAAAAATAACAAGAATTATTTGATTATAAATGGCTCATAATAATTCCCCCGACAAATATACGTCTTCGGCTTTAGTTTATAAACTTTGTTGTCACTTAACAAATCTTTCTTCAGGTGAGAATTCACTTGCATTTAATTAAATTTTTATTGAAATTGATCTGTTAAATAAATTTGAAAATCACGTTTTATTGTTGTGTGTTGCAACAGTTGAAAATGAATTAAGCGCGTGCTTTTACACTTGATCACAAAACAATGGTTTTAATTAAACCAAATTAAATTGGATTTAATTGCAATCAATATTTTTAGAGCAAAATGTTTACTGTGTAAAGGCAGATGCTTATGTATTATGAAATTATTCTTAAAATATTTTTAATATTTTGTAAATTTCATATAAATAGTTTACAGGGATGAGTTGAAGTTTACCTTTGTAGTGCCAATGGCCGTGCTTCAGTTACCTTAGGTAGGTTAGGTTAACTACATTTTTAGTAGACAGAAGAAAGGAATACCTAAAAAGAAAAAAAGGAAACATCTACTAAAGATGTAGTTAACCTAACCAAACCAACCTAAGGTAACCGAAGCACGGCCATTGGGATTACCAAAGTAAACTTCAACCCAGGGATGTAACCAGAAATTTCTGAATGAGGGTTATCTGCATCACTGACAGCTTTTATAGACTTAGCATGGATTACTGTAAAAACATAATAGCACAAAATCACTAGCAACACAATATTGCGCGGGGAACAGCCATATCGGTATGGCAGCTCCTTGCATGTCGTATGTGCTTGTGACAATATTCGATAGAAAAAAGAAAAGGTTGAATGAGAATGTGTATTAAACTTTATTCTTTACCCTGTGGTTGTTCACGTAGCCTAGTATTTGAGTCTGTTTGATGTGCCTGTTCTGTTTCATCAAGTGGTCATGACTTTTTTATGCTGTTTGCTTTTAAACTTTTTTATTGAGTGACAATAGGGGCTGTCAGAGAATGAGAGGCAGAAGAATGTTAGTGTGGAAAATGGCATCCCTTGCAGCCCCGAGTGGTTGCATTTACATGTTTATAGTATGAATATTTTGCATATTGATAACATTTTACTTGTGCATTTAATAACATTTTGATCACGGAATTCCTATTTTTATGCGTCAGACTTTATCTATATACTTACTTATGTTTTCTGCACAAATAAAATTTGTACAGAGAATAATTATTGTTCTTTTCTATTCTAGCAATTGACTTCTTGTCAATTGTTGGAATTTCTTGGCTCATGTCGTAGAAAAGCACGAGACAAATCAGGAAATTCTTGTATGTTACTTTGGAGATGTTGACTATCTCAAATATTTGAGAAAACTGGAGATGTAAAAGGTGTGCAGGAAAGATGCAGCAATTAATTATGTAAGCAATAACACTTTTGCAAGTGTGGAGAACCTTTCCTTGAAATCCAGTAAATCAATTTTTTTAATTGATTAATGCCAATATTAATGCTTGCTTCGATAACTAATTGAATGACACCTTGTTTTTAAAAATTTTGTTCAGTTGGGATGATTGTTTTTAGAATGGTTGTAATCTGATGACAAATGCTAAAACCATTGAAAGTAAATAATCTCCTCTATATACACTGTAAAATAAACGACTTCTGCTGTAAACCAAAACAGTGCTTATTTCCAAATATTTTCACAAACGTTTTCGAACTTAGTTCTTCTTCAGGTGAATATAACGGGTAGAATCGATGTTATTCAAAATCTGAACGCAATGTTCTAAGGAAACTCGTGCAATCATCATGTTAAACTTGTGCATGCTCTGTAGATAGAAGGATCGCTTTTGGCTTTTCAAGTGTCATAAATAAGAGTTTGTTATGCTATCGATAAGGATAGTTCATCCTTATTGTTTATACACTTGTCTTCTCTTGCTGTTTTATAGATATATATCGCTTTCATCCAGTGCAAATGGTGTATTAGCTGTGTGGTGTAAATTATCTTTACCTCGTCAAATACAGCTTGTATGTCAGGGTCCGTGGCATATTGTGCTAATGCTGTAACTAAGAGCAAAAATAGCAAAAGCCCAAAGATGGACCAAAGCAAACGAAATCACTATAATTAGAGCGGATAAAGCTAAAACCATGGTAATTATGAGGAAGCAGACGTACGAGAAATTGCTTATGGAGTACATCAATATCACTCAATGTGAAAAAAGCGGCAGTAACGCAGTTGAAAAACTACAGGCTAGAGTAAAGAGATTCTCCAAAAGCAAGTTAGTGAAGAAGTTGGATATTAAGAACATTGTTGTAGACTCTCCAGACACGCCCAAATTATTTGGGTTTGCTAAAACGCACAAAGAAGGCAAACAGATTTGTCCTGTAGTGGATAAGATTCGGGCTCCAACACGCAAACTAAAAGAGAAAATGCACTATATAATAGCACCACATTTAGAAGAATACCAGTTTAACATAAGTAATAGTGTTGACCTCATAGCTCTACTCAAGCAGATTAATACCCCCCCACAGTACCTCACTGTGCTAGATTTCAAATCATTATACCCTTCTTTACTCCTTCCACCAGCCTTCTGTGTATTAAGAGATTTGCTAATAAATATAATAGGGGACAGTAACCACCATCAAGATATACTAGAGTTAGCACATTTATTGTGCTACAATTCTTTCTTTCAATTCAAAAACGAGGTATATCAACAGAAAAGAGGTGTACCAATGGGGAGCCCGATAGCAGGAGATCTAATCAAACTGGTAATTAGACTCCTAGAACAGAAAGTACTGCCCGACCTACTCCACATTATTACATACAAAAGATATGTGGATGATATAATCATATTATGGAAATCTAAACCTGACATAACGGCAGTCATAGCAGCATTTAATAATAACTTGTATGGATTAACTGTGGGCCTCGAACAGAAGAGCGACAAACAAATTCATTTTCTCGACGTGAACATCGTAGTTAAAGGAAGGTCTATCAACACAGAGGTATACAGAAAACCTCAGGCAGATCAATTGTATATCCCTGCGCATTCATGTGACCCATGGCAGTATAGGATAGCGGCCTTTAATAACTTGGTGAATAGAGCATACACCCACTCATCGACAACGCGGGCACTGGATACAGAGATCAACACCATTAATATCATGGCCAAAAGACATGGATATAATAGTAGGATAGCCATGAGGATCGAAAAAATGATGCATTCATGAAGAACAGATCTAACAGAACCACAAGGGCAACAAAGTAACACTCAGAAAGACAGAATCCTAATCACTTACAATCCGTACTTAGAGAAAATCTACAAAGAGATCGCCAAAAGAAAACAAGCCTCCTTAATATTTAGAAGATGTCCCACTATATTTAGAATGCTAAATAATGCAAAAGACACTCCACACCAAAACAAATTAGCAGGAATATACAGGATCCCTATAAAAGATCATAGGTGTGATAAAGGTTTAATATACATGGGATCGACAAAAAGATCGTTGGAGGTGAGGATCAAAGAACACAAAGCGGACATCCTACATAAAAGATATTCGACAGCATTAGCACAATTTGCCACGGACCCTGATATACAAGCTGTATTTGACGAGGCAAAGGTAATTTACACCACACAGCTAATACACCATTTGCGCTGGATGGAAGCGATATATATCTATAAAACAGCAAGAGAAGACAACTGTATAAACAATAAAGATGAAC